CCCGGATATCGCCGGGCGACACGTGATATTTCTTGCCGGACTTTGATTAAGTGGACCAACTGGCTTTCTTTACACCGCGGCCGGATAGTATGCACTAAATATTTATTTCGCAAGATATTAGATCGTCCCATAAACTCCCGCCATTTGCTATTCCCATTGTCTTTAATCCCGTGCGCTACAATTTCTTTCACAGCTGCGTTAATTAGCACTGCTTCGTCCTTAAATAACTTCCCTAAAGAGAACGAGACAATTTTTGTTTCTCAATTTGCTTTACCGAAATATAAATGTTACTCGTTTCTCCTAGATTTAAACAAAATCTGTCCCTTCTTGTGCTTGTTTTACAGAACTCTTTCTCGTAAATTGACGACGGGCACAATTGAATTTGGCAAAATCCCAGCGGCCGAGTAAAATTGCACTATTTCAAACGCTGCCAGTAAACGAGGGTATATTAGTGTTAAGTAAATGTTAGCATTGAATTGGCGATCTTAACCGATAACTAATCAGGCATTTCCTTAAGCGGCTCTCTCGCCCCCCCCCCTCCCTCTCTCTCTCTCTCTCTCTCTCTCTCCCTCTCTCTCTTCGCTTTAGCAAGCCATGATTGCGAACGAAAGAATCGGGAGGACGAGGGTACCGTCTGCAGAATAGCTTCGTCACGGTGACGATAATTGTGCCAATACCCTTTCATCGAATCCCTAAAGATCGTACCAATTCGGAAGATTACCTCCGACATCTCGACTACAATCCTCGGCGGAATCAGTTTCTGCCTTGAAAAATGAGAACGCCGCGCCGGTAGGACAGTATTTGATTACGTGGGAACCGGAGGACGAGTGTGTGCTTTGTTCGTCTTGTTTCATGCGATCAGCCACCGAAGCGATCTTGATGAAATCTTGCGCCGGAGATGACGATTTAATATCTATCGCGACTTATTTCGTCGCTGCTCCAAGAATCCCTGAGAAGTTCTGCTACGTTCTGCCGTTTCGAGCAGACATTTCACAGAAATTGCCAAAATTTCGTCACTCTCTTCTCGCTTCTTCCAAGCCATTTCTACATCATTTTATAATTCTAAAATGAGAAATTGGTCATTTTCACCGCCGTAGAATTAGTGTTAAAATCCGAGGAAAATTGACAAGGTCCGATAGCATTTTGATTTGATTTTCACGAGCGATCTTTTAATTAACGACGGAATCTCTTCTATCGTCCTAATTTTTTAAAAATGACACGAGAATTCGCGCACAAATCCGCGGTCCGACGATCAAACATATACATTCAAGAAATATAAAAACTACGATCAAATGTTGCTCCTTAAAAGAGAATAACGTCCAATTAATTTACAAAATTTGGATAAAGCATATAACCGTTACGGAACGATACGGAAATTTCATTGAGAAATAGTTCCGCCAAGACCGAGTGATTGCCGTGCCAATCATAGAGAAGCTCGGCGAACAAGCCGAAGTGAAGACAGAATTCTGATGTAATTTCAGCAAGGCAGGCTAAATATTCACGGTCCAATACGGGGCGCAAGGCTAATGGTAAAAATATTGCAAGCTACTTGAGACTTGCCACTGCAGATTCCTACAGGTAGAATTGCATAAGGTTTCCGCGTGTAAACCGTATCCTTTTAGAGACGTGTTCAACAGTTCGCCGGCGTATCGGATGGCTTCATCTGGAAACTTATACCGCCGCAGATACTGTGTTACACTTTTTACATATTTATTGGGCATCTGAAACACGTACAGGTCATCCGCGAATTACTCGACGTTGGAATTTTCTGCGCACGAAGTATTTATAATACCACGTAACAGAGCACTCGAATTATTTAACAAAGCGACCATTAGCTCGGTGACGCGATAGAAGTATTCATTTTCGAAGCTGTATCGCCTGAGAATAGCAAAGCCTGGAATAATTAACGTGCAAAAGTTTAAAACAGTAGTTTTATATATTTAATAAGTAGTCTTATATATTTAATAAGCAGTCTTTATACATTTACCAAGTAGTTTTATATATTTAATAAGCAGTTTTTATATATTTAATAAGCAGTCTTTATATATTTACTAAGTAATTTTATATATTTAATCGGTAGCCTTTATTTTAATTATCAACGCTTTTACTCATTAAATTAATAAAATATTCATCCACAGATTACAGAATATTTTACCGAATCGTGGGACCGAGAAAAATGTTAACGCATAATTTTATGCAATTTATTAAAATTTCGCACAGATAGAAAGTTCGACAATAATATCTATTATTATTGAAGATATATTAATAATGTCTACCAATATTAATACAGCTACGAAGCGAATTTAAATATTGAATGATTCGGAAAAGTGAACGGTGGCGACACCTCCTAGAGAAAGCGGAAACTAAAAGACCGCGAACAGCAATACAAAGTATAGGATATATTCGTCTGTGATAACGTAAACAAGGTATACCTCGTTTGCGGTGATAATCTTCAGCACTAGTAGCAGAAATTAGGTATATAGGATATTTTCTTCTTGCTAACGCGCACAATCTGTGTCCAAATTTTCAAATATTAAACAACTGTTGGTAATTTTGTCGAACAGTTTGCAGTGTTTGTTGCAAAAGCGCTGATTTCGATCGCTTTATTTCAAAAGGGAAGAAAAGGGTTCACATTTTCATCGATCTATTTTGAGAAAACAGACAATAATTGATCTCATGGCTGTCGAAAATTATGTTAAATTGTTTTAATCTTTTTATAAAAGAATCAGAATACATGGAGTCGCAACAAGTCTCAATAAAAAGGGGTATCAAAAACATTAACGTTCTTATAATTATTATTAACAGTACAATTACTTTAACATAAATTCTAATGATTAATAAATTAATGCGATTAATTTACATTATAAATAATTTTATTATCATAAATTTTAACGACAATTATTATCGATACATAATTACTAAATAATATTCAAAATCACTTGCTATCGCAATTCAGTCTACTATTCGATTTACTATTCCAACTATCATCCCCAATGCGATCGAGAGCAATCGTTCGACTCTCGAACCCTGAAGGATCTCGACCGAGAGGTCAGCGACGATCAATCACGCGCGAACCCGCGAATTCAGTCGCCTCCGTTTCGATCAGCGGCGATCGAACGATCGGGCCATTCACTTTCGGTTCGTCCGGGGTGGTTGCACCCAGGAAGTCGCGTGCCGCGCAGAACGTCGCGGGGTTGTATCGGGGGGTTGATTGCGCAGCCGCGCTGACCGCTGTCCACCTGGCAGCTCGTGGATAATCCTCCACCTGCTGGCACCTGCTGTCAAGTAGAAACCGAGGAAAGCGTGGCAGAGGCTGGGAGTCGGTGAACCGGAACGAATAAACGCAGGCAAAATAAGGGGAACACGAGTCGCCAACGGGGAGACCAGTGAGTATGCAACCCCCCGCAAGGGTGAACGTACTTGTCCGCCCCGTGACGGAAGAATTTAACGCGCGTGAAACCGCGGCGAGAATCCTCGATGAGTCGCGAGGGCCGGTGCTTTCGCTTCGAGGAGCTTTATTGTGAGTCCTGCTGATTGATATCGCGACGCGGTCGATTAATCGATCGGCTTTCGCGCTAATTGATCCTCCGTGAAGTCGTTCATTGTTTGCGGGCTTTGTTTCAATTTTTACTCGCAATCCAAATGGAAACTTTCGAAGTAAAAGTTAGGTGTTCGTTTTTCTTTCAGGATTCGGAAGGGTTGAGAGATTTAAAGGGATTTAAAGAAAACGATTTCGTCTTATATATTTATTTATTCGCATCTTTGTTCGTCGAGCATAGCAATTGTCGTAAGCTTCGTGTACGTAGAATTCGACGGAATTTTTCCGTACGCTGATTGACGTATAAATAATAACGTGTAAATCCGGAGCTTCGTCTCTGCGCCACATTGACCCAGAATTATAAACGACGGCTGACAATGGATAGCGTTGACACGGTCTCTCGTAGGCTGCATAGAAAATTTTGAAGGAAGGTTGCGTTAAGGATCGCCTCTCGCGCGTTAATAGTTGATAGAAAAATAAATAGGGAATCGGGATCAAGGGACACTTTCTGCGCGGCGAATCCCAGTTTCTATATCTGAGCATATTTCTGGAGCTAGGTAACAGGTGTTCGAGGGGATCATTAATTTTTCACGCGACCGTAGATCCAACGTTGTTCTAAAAGCGCAAGAGTGTATACACTTTGCTTCTGAACTTCTATTCGCGGTAGTTGCGAGTTCGGTTTAGTTACTAATCGAGTCGTGCGCGCAAATTATTGATCTAGAAACTAGGTAAAACTTTCGGATTACAATGTACGGCGAATTCTCCATAATCGACGCTCAGCTTGGATGCGAAAATCGACAATTTTGGAAGAGGAAATACGATTAATCGAGCCTCGCGGCTGTTTATAATTGTTTATAATCGGTGACTATAAAAATGAGCCGCGAGACTCGGATAATCGTATCTTCTCTTCGCGAATTATCCATTTCTGCGCGCAATCTAAGCGCGAATTGGGGAGAAATTATTATTTTAAAAAATGTATTAAATTTATCAAAAATTATTATTAAGAAAAGAACACTCGCCCTCTGATCGGTCCACGTTTTTCGTTAATAACTCGCTAACGAATCCTCGGGCAACAATTCCGCAAAGAAAAAGCTGTCTTCAAATCGGCTGAAAAACCACCCCGTTCCAAGTACATACAAGTCGCGGGACACCCTGTATAAAATTCGCGACCGGTCTCCGCAACAAGTATCAGGCTATAGCAAGCTCCCTAATCGCCTGGATCGGCCGCTGCGGCGATTACCAAGCAAAGTCCGAGCGAATCGATAGCGGCGAGATTGCGTCGCGGTTTTTCCACGTTTCTTCCCAGAGCCGGCGGAGTTTCGCGGGACAGAGAGTGTCGTCCTTCGACGTCGAATCCGGTTCCGAGGCATTGGCACCGTTCCACCGGAGCTGCGTTAATTATTTAAGAACCGGTGAATCGATGTGCGGTCAGCTATGGATCCCCCGGCCAGGGTTACGTGCTTACGCTTCGAACGTTTTTCCCCGATGGCGACGGCGACGCTCTTATAGTTCGCAGCGTCGCAGTTCGCGGTCGTCGCGGCTCGCTCTCGCTCTCGCTCTCCTCGAGGGAGAATTATGCTCGCGCGTGTTCGAAACGCGTTCGCCTGCAACTTACCGAAATGCGGGAATTTCAAATTTCCAGGGATGGAGAAGCCCGAGTCCTCGAACGGGGACGAGAGCAACACCGAGCTCGAGGACAGGGACCCCAACAGCCTGAACCAGCATCTTCAGGTACCCACGTGCGATTCCGCAACCACCGATTTCTTAATTTTGCACCAATCCTTCGACTTTTGAACGCGCACTATCACGCTTCTCGATTCGAACGCTTCTTTCGAATGCTTTTTAAAAGTCCGCTTACACCACTTCCCTGCACAACTCGACAATTTGAGGGTGTTTAAATGTAACGTCTTTGTTCGGAAAATCGTAATTTCTTCCTAATCGACGCTCCGCTCTGATTAATCGCATCTCCTATTCCCAAATCGTCCATTTTTGCTTCCAAGCTGACCGTCGATTAGCGAGAATTTACCGCAATATTTAACCCTATGGTCGTCATTGTTCGGCTTCGAGTGACTTTTCGTCATTAATCGCATCTCCCCTTCCCAAATCGTCCATTTTTGCTTCCAAGCTGACCGTCGATTGGCGAGGATTTACCGCAATATTCGACCGTATGGTCACCGTTGTTCGGCTTCGAGTGACTTTTCGTGTTTCCCCCTGCTCGATCGTTACGAGAAATATCCGTAAATCAAACGGAGATACCGCGGATCGTATTGAAAAATGTTCGCGTGCCGCAGAATGATTCGTCGATTCAGCTGTTCCTTGAACAAAGAGAAGTTTCCACGAATGTTTCGGTGACATTTATTTTCGTACTTCGTTTAATATTCCCGTTCGTTGGACGATCAACCTTTGCACGGCGTAACGTAGTTGCAAGAATGAAAAGCCGAATAGAAATTGATCTCGGTTCGAAAATCTCGATTTTGTCAGGCTTTTGTTAGGCTAGCGCCGCGTGTGTCGCAGATGCATGAAATTCGCCATTCGACCATTTTATTTAATCATCGTTTTCGCAGTCTCAAGCACCATTATCTTTCTCCCAAATAATTCATATAGGTTTCCGAACAATTTTATAAGCGCCGCGTGTGTCTCAGATGCATGAAATTCGCCATTCGACTATTTTATTTAATCATCGTTTTCGCAGTCTCAAGCACCTATTATCTACCTCCCAAATGATTCATACACGTTTCTGAACAATTTTATAAGCACCTTCCTTCGCGCATTTCCGTTCTCCGGACTCGTTTCTCTTCCTCTCGATCATTCCTACCGAACTTTTCGGTAAGAACGCGGCATCGAGAACGATCGGCACCATTGTCTCAGCTTTGCGCACGGTGACTCGGAATTCGTTCCGTCGTTTTACTCGACGTGTGCCGATGAATGACAGGTGATGTGGGACGACGTGATCGGAGAACCGGAAGGAATACGCAGCCCGGAGTGCGCGTGGCGTCTAAGCGGCCACTGCTTCCGGTTGTCCAGGGGCTGCTGCTACATCTTGCTCTCCGTCCTGATAGCGCCTGTGTTGGCGCTCTGTTTCGGCTTCACCTTCGCCTGCCTCTCCTTTCAGGTGAGCCCTCCATCTTTCTTTTTTCTCCCCCGTTTCCTCCGGCCGATCGATGCCGGCCAGGTGCGTTTGTTTTCGTTTTACTGGTTCCCCGCGATCCCCAGGCTGGACTGTGCGGCTACGCCGCGCTTGACCCCGTTTTTTTCTTTTAATAAGCTTTTTAGATTATACCTGTGCACAGCGTTCGATTTTTAAATTGCTGCGCGATCCATCGATTCGGCTTTTCCGAGCACCGATTATTGTCTTCCGCGAAGTCGTCGCGATTTCGTTTCTAAAATTATTCGGAAAGAGTAGAAGGTTTATTGAAATTTTCCTTAATTTTCCTTAATTTTTCTTTAGCTTGCAAACAGAAATGGACAATTATTCGAACAACAATAATTATTGTTTGAATATAGTTCGAATAGTAGTATGATAGTATAGTGATATAATAATATAATAATATAGTATATAACAGTATAGTATAATATAATAATAATAATAATAATAATAATAATAATAATAATATAATATATTATATTATTATTATTATATTATACTATACTGTTATATACCTGTCTCTTATACACATCTAGATGTGTATAAGAGACAGGTATATAACAGTATAGTATAATATAATAATAATAATATAATATATTATATTATTATTATTATATTATACTATACTGTTATATACCTGTCTCTTATACACATCTAGATGTGTATAAGAGACAGGTATATAACAGTATAGTATAATATAATAATAATAATATAATATATTATATTATTATTATTATATTATACTATACTGTTATATACCTGTCTCTTATACACATCTAGATGTGTATAAGAGACAGGTATATAACAGTATAGTATAATATAATAATAATAATAATAATAATAATAATAATAATAATATAATAAAATAATAATAATATAATAATAATAATAATAATAGCTTAAAAATATAGGTAATGGAATTATTTACAAGGTAATAGCGAGAAGGGTAAATTTCATCGTCGAATACGTGGTCCATTTTGTTTTCTACAAGCTTAATAAAAATTGGGGAGAATTTGCTACAATTTACCGTAATCGTTACTATTCAAATTATCGAAGAAAGAACTTAGTAACCATTTCGTTTATATTTCGTGCAACCGATGCAGTCGCTCTTTCTTTTCGTCTATAAAAATCCGAGGTTCGACGGTAAGCCTAAGTTCACGTCAAAGTCTAACTCTAAGTCTAACTCTAAATCGGACGCGACAAGTAAAGCTCGCGTACACGTGTAATCGTGGTAAGAATAAGCATTAAGGAATCGATCTTTGCAGCACATATGGTGCGTGGCCCCCTGCCTCCGCGTCTGGAAAATCACCTGCGCAGCCACAAGAAATTTTCTCGCTGCGTTGACGCAGGCTATCGTGCGGCCCGTGACGGACGCCGTTGGTTACCTGTTCCACAATATCCGTGTGTTCAATCAGAAGCTACCTGACGGTGCCCAAATCAAAGACGATCTTTTGATAGTCTGATCGCAACCCCCCGATCGCTTGCAATCTCTTCGGGGTGCCCTCTCCTCGTCACCGAGTGCCTTTTCAGTCGTCGGACAATCGTGTTTCGGACGGAGGACGTTGCGAACAATCGAATAACCACAGAATTTCACACCGGGACACGCTGCCCAATCGGATTAAGAACCATTTCAGATTTTAATTAATAGCGTGATGTTTCACTTGATCTCAATTTTCATCTAATGTCGCAACCTCCCTCGAGGTAGTATTACGATCAAAGGAATTTAGCTGTAAGAGAACGGAATAATAAAGAGTTTCCAAGCTTAGTACAACGTTTAACCCTTTCGGTACGAGCGCCGGATATATCCGGCATCCATCTGGTGACCGATATGGACGAGTGCCGAATACATCTGGCATCCATGTAAGCCATATTTCTGTAGGCCCTTTACAGAATGTAATACAGGAAACATTTAAAGAAAGATTTAGAAACGGATTAAGCACAGTCGTTACTTAACGCTTAAGAAAATCTTCGTACAAACGTGGACCGAGCCTGCGTTATGTGCGCATTTTCGGCGCGGTACCCCGTACAGTGGGAGTGTCACGGCGGACAACGCGCTCGTACCGAAAGGGTTAACAGAAATCTGGCGAAGTTTCAATTTGATTCGATTCGATTTCGTGCGAAGTCCTGTTGGATTTTTCTGCGCGTTCGAAGGTCTGAAAATTCGTGAACGTCTTTAGCGAGATCGTGCGATTGCAAAATACGGTAAATTCTCCCCAATTGTCCCTCAGCTGGTACACGAAAATGGAGCATTTGAGAGAATTTGGGAGAAGATACGATTATTCGAGTCTTGCATCTAATTTTTATTAATCGTTGACAATCGGCAATTATAAAACTGAGCCGCGAGGCCCGAATCGTCCATTTTGGTTCGCAAGCCGAAGGAAAATTGGCGAGAATTTACCGTAATGCGGATCGATAACACGATTTTGTTGCCAAGTTCTGACGATTAAAGATATAAATAGTGGAACTATGTGCAAGGTAATAGCGAGAAGGGTAAAGTTCATCGTCGTATAATACGTGCTGTTGCGGCGTCTGAATGCAATAATTGAATAGTATGAAACTTAGAACGATCTTAATCCTCGCGCTTCGTCGCACGAAGGCGATTTACGTCCGTCATTAATCGGTCCGTCATTAACGCGTCGAATGCCACGCCGGTTTTACAGAAATTGTCCGTGGCGCCACGATGAATTTTCTTCTATGTGATACATATAATGTTGAAATATTATCTGCAATAAATAAGTTACAGTGTATAACCATGTTTGACGTGTTAATTGCGACAGAGGTCACTGTTTGAATCGACGATGGTAATAGTACAAAAATTTAGATATTGACATTTCTTTTAAATTATATATATTTCTATCAATTTGGGCGCGCCGGTCACCGGTGGCCCCCATAGCGTCACCGCCAATTTAAGTGCGGGTCACCGTTGACCCCCGTGGCATTCAACGTGTCAAACTCCATTCTCAATTACTCTAAAATTAGTGGAACTTCTTCGTGTGCCTTATCAACGAAGGAACGTCTGAATACGTGTATCTGTTGTTACGGTGTTTTTGTAAATAAAACGTATAAACCTTGTGAAAATACCAATTTACTGACTCTCGACGACAGCATTCAATTTAAATCTAAACGAAGTTGCAACAAGTTGCAACGTCGATTATCAGTTTAAATTAAAAAAACAAATGGAATTAAGCGACGACCAGCGATTCGAATTTCGATTTAAATACCGATCAGTTCGGCAAATGAAAACGGCGATTTCATAGATTCGAATTCGATCTTCTTATTTCTTGTTGTTAGTAAAGACTAAGACTTAGTAAAGACTAAGTAAGACTTAGTAAAGACTAAGTGAGTACTAAGACTTCGTTAAAGAACGAAGTCGATCGATACCGTGGATCAATGTTTCGACGGTTCAAATTTCGCGCCGCTTCTGGCGAATTTATTCTGGAAGATTTATGAATTTTAATCGCGATGAGATCTTCCGCGAAAGCGAAAACAAGCAAATAACAATATTATCGTTGATTTTAAGTGGGGCAAACGCGATCCGCGATAAGCGCGCCGGACAGAGATCGAGTCAGTTTTCTGTTGGTTCTCCATCAAAATGGCCGCACTCGCGCAGAAGATCCTGTCACGATGCGCACGATTCCATCAAGGGACATCGTCCAGGCGTATCCTTTATTTATCGTCGACTAACTAAACCAGACCGACTCTGTGCTCTCGAACGAAATCTAATCGAAATCTCTAATTTTCACTCAATCGAAACATTAATTAGTTTTTCTTCCGATACCATACGGTTTCTCTGTTTTGTGAATCATTATTGTTCTTAATCATTGTGTCGACGCGACAGAGTTTTCCATTTCGACCACGCTCGCCGGAAAATGTAAGTTATCTTTGCTTCCATCGATTTATCTATCTTTTTCTTTTGACACACGTAAACACGCTGGTCGGTACAGTTATGTAATCGGCTTGAAGTTTCGCTATATCGTTGTCGGATGGCAGCACCGACTGTTCTTTAAATTCAAAGTCTAAAAAGTTAATTAATTTATTTATGTACAGATATGTATTCTTTTTAATTTTTAGGGAAATTTTCATTCTTTGATACCAGATTTACAGGACTCGCCAAAATGACGAATTCGAAATTTGTTTACCCATATTTAGTGAAATTGCAAACATAAATATATGGAGAATTAATTCAATATAAATAAATATATTATATTATATTATATTATATTATATATATTATATTATATTATATATATAAAATATTCAAAATTTATTTCTTTGAATCTATGCAATAATAGCGACCGTTAAAAATTTCAACAAATATACTATTGTTATTTTTACTAAGCAATATAAAATAGCTGCTGTTATTCCGCTAAGCCCGGCGTTAATGAATAAATAATAAATAATTCTCCACCGTGTTTCGTACATTTACAACGAACATTTACTAACGAATTGGTCGATTAGCTGTCTTTGATTGGGAGGACCCGTTCAACCTCGAGTCCCAGCTGACCCAAGACGAGATCCTGATCAGAGATCAATTCCGCGCTTACTGCAGAGAGAAGCTGCTGCCGCGAGTGATCGAGGCAAATCGCAGAGAGATTTTCCACAAAGAGATCATCAGAGAGTTGGGCGAAATGGGGACCCTCGGCTGCGCTATAAAGGGCTACGGCGGCTCGGACGTGTCTACCGTGGCTTATGGACTTATGGCGAAGGAGATAGAGTCTATAGACAGTGGTTACAGGTCCGCGATGTCCGTTCAAGCCTCTTTGGTGATCGGATCGATTTATTCCCATGGGGACGAGTCGCAGAGGCAACGGTACTTACCGAAACTTGGTACGTGGACCAAGTTGAAGACTCAATTTAACGTTTACAGTGTTGCCGGTATCCAAAAAAGCAGGGAAAACCATATTTGCATATTTCTACTTGCTATTATATAATAAATATTACATAGACATTATATTACATAATAAATATTATATAGATATTATATTATATAATAAATAAATATATAATATATAATAATATATAATAAATATTATATAGATATTATATCATATAATAAATATATAATACAGACATATGCAAATAGGATGTTTGCTTGAGTCTTCGTTCAAATATCATTTAAAATGTAAACGTTACTTCGAGTCTATAATTATTCACATTACTGTATTTTCGGTCGTTATACTGAAAACGGTATGGAGAATTAAAGAAGTCACGTGACTGTTATAAATAAACTGCGGTTCTCTATGTAAAATAAAAATTGTCCAAGTCGATTGTAAGAGACATTAATCAATTGAAAATGTCATTCCTCTTTTAACATCTTGACACGAAGACCCTTTGACTTATTGGCTCAGATATTCGAAAATTAATTTTAAAAAAGTAATCTATTTGATACAACGTAACTTTTCAATTGTAAATTCGATTAAATCTAACACTTCAATTTTATGAAACGTCTGAGATCGTTGGTACAAGTAACGCATTCAATCTTTTCGTCGTTGCAAAGCAATGCTCGTTAATTATTTTGAATAATTTAATTCGGCGTTAATCGTTATCTCAATCAGAATCGATATATATAATCGATATCGAAACAATTACTTTGGGAACCTACGAAAGCGTCCGCAGTCCACTTAAGACAATCAGAACACGAGCACCAAAAACACCCGGAAACCCTAATTGTTCACAGTTACCGGCGAGTTGGTCGGCTGCTTCGGTCTCACCGAGCCTAATCACGGCAGCGATCCAGGATCTATGGAAACCAGAGCCACTTACGATCAAGAGAGGAAGATATACAGGCTGAACGGAAGCAAAACCTGGTCAGTTTCGTAAAAAGTTATCGAACATTGTAAAAAATTGTTCTCCGAATTTTCGCCTAACAGGATCACGAACGCCCCCATCGCGGACATACTGATCGTCTGGGCGAAATGTCCGGACGAAACGATCCGCGGTTTCATAGTCGAGAGGAAAGGCAACGAGGATCGTCTCTCCACGCCTAGGATCGAAGGGAAATTCTCATTGAGAGTTTCGACGACCGGGATGATCCTGATGGACGACGTCGAAGTCCCATCGGAGAACGTCCTGCCGAATGTGCAGGGGTTGAGGGTAAGTTTGAAGGATTCTAAGGCGTCCGACGAGTCGAAGTTTTGGTATAGCAGCGAGCTTGAAACAGGGGCCGTTCAGTTGTTTGAACAACGCTCGATACGGCATCGCGTGGGGAGCTCTGGGAGCCGCGGAAACTTGCTTCAGGGCTGCCAGGACGTACACCCTTGAGAGACGGCAATTTGGGAGGCCGCTGGCGGCGAACCAATTAATGCAGGCCAAGCTGACGGACATGATGAGCGACATCGCGTTCGGTCTTCAGGCTTGTCTGAGGGTTGGCCGGCTGAAGGACGAGGGCAAGTAAGGCAACGTCTCGTCGATCCCTCGCTCTCGGGATCTGACATGTTTCTTTGGCATAATTTCTCTTCCTTAAGTACTCGAGTCCAAATACAGTAATTTCTCCCTAATTTTCCTTCGGATTGTACAGTCATTTTCCCGTAATTCGCGCTCAGATCGCGCAGAAAAATGGACAATTTTGGAAGAGAGAAGATACGATTATTCGGGCCTTTCGCCTCGTTTTTATAACTGTTGGCAATCGGCAATTATAAAAATGACCCGCCGAGACTCGAATAATCGTATCTGCTCTTCGCAAATTGTCCATTTTCGTTCGAAGGAAAATTGGGGACCCAATTGTACACCCAATTCTGCTTTTACTCGCCGTTGATTCGACACGATCCAGAAGAATAAATTCAATTTCGTTTTCACGCGATAATTTTCAAGCATAATTATTCTCATTCAGGAACGTATCTGTCGCGTAAAAGTAGAATTGGGTTTACATCAGTTTCCTGCGATCCTTCAACTCTTTCGTCACAGTTTACCGAAGCTGTGACGCTATATTTCTATAGCGTACCGTTAACGTTAGTTTCTGTCGCCTGATCTAGCATTCGTTCGAGCCTAATTTCCATCGTTTCTCAAAGGCTTTCTCGTTCCCCAGGGCCACGCCGGAAATGATCTCGATGATCAAGAAGAACTCGGCCTCGAAAGCGATACAGATCGCGAGAACCGCTAGAGACATGCTCGGCGGCAACGGAATATCCGACGAATACCACGTGATTCGCCACGTGATGAACTTAGAGAGCGTCATTACCTACGAGGGTGAGTTAATATTTTCGAGATAATATTTCTATATTTCTAGCATAGTTATTTTTCGCTAGAACCGATTTCTGAGGCTTGAAACATCGATGTTTGCTAATCGTTTTAATCTTAGGTACGGACAACATCCATGCTCTGATACTCGGCAGAGCGATCACAGGCATACAGGCCTTCAGTTAAGGGTCACCTGCTGGCGTGTCTTTTGGGAAACATCGATTTATTTTATTTACATTTGTACAATGCCTTTGATACGTCTCAATAAAGCCTCGAGCGTTTTCTAGGAGCTCGGAGGATTGTTACTTCGAAGGAAGCGAAAGCTTTGCTCACCGGTCTAAAAAAGTCGATTGTTCCTTCTAGAAAGATCGTATGATCGAGAAAGGACAATAGAAAAAGCTTGTTGTTGCTTCTCCTACGATTCGCACGTTTCTGTTGCTCGACCGTGTTTTCCATTCAACCCGGCGGAGCGTAAAAAGCTGAAACGAACGAATCTCGAGGACGCTTTCTAGATGTTTCGCAACGATCGTCGATTGCCAGGATAAATACAGTTAATTCTCCCTAATTTTCCATCAGCTTTTGAACAAAATGAATAATTTGATAAGAAAGAGATACGATTATTCGAGACTCGCGGCTCGTTTTTATAGTTTTCGATAATCGGTGACTAAAAAGGGCGAGCTGCGAGGATCGAATAATCGCATCTCTCATTTTTCTGAATTGTACACGTTTCTTTACAAGCTGAAGGAATATTGGGGAGAATTTGCCGTGAAAGCAATCGTGAATAGCGATGAAACATCGCGAAGCGACCCGGTTCGGAGAAAACTAGCACAGTGTCGGCAAAGGAGAGTGAAAGAACGCGACGCGGATGTGTCTCGGGAACAGTATGATCTCTCTGCTTCTTTCACCCCTCTCTCGCTCTCACTCTCACTCTCTCGATGGATGATCAAAGTCGACGCGAAATCGTCGGATAAGATAAAAGGGGAGCGTGAAACACACTAGAGCCTGGTCCGTTTCGTTCGCTTATTATTTATCAACAAGGGCGTGTCCACAACACAAGCGTGAAACTCCGAGGTTTATGTTTATGTTCTTTTTTTTTTTTAATCATAAATAAATTAAGTTTAATTGCTAAGTAATAAAACGTTAATTACATATGTCAATTGATAATTAATTTAAGTACAACACACGTCTCGTGCAAAAGTGTAAAGAAGTTTCTTTTTTCGTGCTACACTCAATTACCATTGGTTTTTTTTTCTTATTACTTGCTTTGTTAGTTTGTTATGTTCTTATCTCGCTCTCTCTCTCTCTCTCACTCTCTCACTCGCAATCTCTCCCTCTTTCTCTCTCTCTCTTTCTCTCTATCTTTGTTCTTATTCTCTTTTTTTTTGGTTTTTACAACGTAAGTTCTGTTGTTACGCTCCTCGCCCGTCTGTCGGTGTCGTATTTATTTCCGGTTTCCCTGTGTCTGTCTCTCTGTGTGTCGACCCTTTCTCACTGTTGTCTCTCTCTCTCTCTCTCTCTCTCTCTTTCTCTCTCTGTTGTTTTCTGCTGGTAAGAGGTTTTCTTTGTCATCTTTAAATGGTACTCGACTACAATAAGCTCTTGGTAAAACGTAGTAACATCGTTAGTTTACAGTAGTTTACAGCCGCCCCTCTCGCCGGGACATCGTGTGTCCTTTTTTTCACGCCGCCATGTCGACCTCGAAATTTCCATCGGAATTCCTTCCTCCGTCCATCGCGAGTTCGATTCCGCGATCGTTCGCCGCGATTCGATCCTAAAAAAATCCTCGATCGACGGGCGCGCGCGCGCGCGCACCCGCTTGCTACCAAAATGGCGACTCGCGAGAGAAACGCTCGACTCGCCCGTCGATCCCTCGCCCCATCCAGCTAGGTATTTTGTCGTCCAGGACCGACGGAAACTTCGAAGCCGGCATTTACAATAATTAACTCCAGCCTCGCCGCAATCAATCTAATCTCGCTCGCAAAAATCAACACGCCGCTCCCACCGACTAAGCTTTTTTTTTACGGTATCATCGACTCACGAACCCGTTCCTTCGTTCATTCTCCATATACGTGTTCCCGTGTGTGTGTGTCTCTCTCTCTCCTGCGTGTACGTGTGTGTACGTATATGCGCGTGTCACCGTGTGTTCTCTGTATTATGTGTGTGTGTCATCTGTGTGTCATTTCACTAATGAATACGTAAGTGTAAACAATAAATAATGCTTTCTCAATTTTCTTTGTTACTCGCGTTTAATCTACGGTCCTTTGGTATGTGTCCCCGCGGACGATCCATATCGATCCGCGGCCGTCCCCTCCGATCGAGAAACTAAATGGTAACGACGCCGCTATAGCGAGAGATCGATCCGCTCGACAATTTTTTCGCTCTCTCTCTCTCTCTCTCTCTCTCACTCTCTCTCTCTCTCTCACTCTCGCTCATTCTTACTCACTCTCGTTTATAGTTTGTCCACGTTCTCGCCGATTCTCCGGAAAATTCCGCGCAAACCCAGCCATGCTCGATCCCCGCGACGCAGCGGTTCGCGTTTAAAACACTAAAACGGAGCTTCGACCCCCTAAAAATCCCACCCTCGCAGCTCTCGGGACTCTCACCTATGTCCACGTTCGTATATTTCGCCCGCCCTTCGCCCCCGTTTTCTTCTGCTTTCGCGTTCGAGAGACCGTGTTTCACCACCCCGCTCGTTGAATATTTCCTGTTTTTTTTTCCCCCCGCCCCCGCCCCTGTTCACTGGATGTCGACACGATGAACCCTCGTATTATAGTAAATATAATAATGTATACTTGCTTTTGCACTTGTATTTTACATTATTTCATCTCTGATTAACTAATCGATACCTTATTGTCGTACGAACCGTTCACCTGTTCTCGCACCTTCCTCCATCCCTCTTCTCTCTCTCTCCCTATTTCTCTCCCTCTCTCTCTCTCTCTCTTACTTTCTCTCTCTTTTCTACCTTTCTCTATGTTGCCACGTCGATACCCATTCGATCCAATTAACAGATAATTAGCTGATGAGTTACAGGTCCTCAGACTTCCTCGCGATCGCTCGAGAACCTTCGACTCCCGACGCCTTTGTCCTCGCTACTCGATCGTGAACGATCGAAACGAGGCCTCGCGATCGATCGTGTCGTTCACCTGTTGTTTTCGCGTCTGTAACTTCTGCATTTTTGTTTCCGCGGTTGCGCCGAGCTCGACGAGCCTCGAAGACGTTTCGGACGTCGCGCGGTCTCTTATTCGATCGAGATTTATTCGACATTTTATTCTTCGACTTTCGTCGAACCGGCGAATGATTTGACGTTCCGGAAATATTTTGTAAAAATTGCAACGTCGAGCTTGATGCGACCGAATCGATTCAGTATGAATTTTATTACGATATCGAATTTAACGAACCATCGTAGGAGATCTCTCGCGTAACCGTGCGACGTCGAACGAGCTCAAACGCGACCCGCATACCATGCGCAACTCGCGACACCGAATAGCAAAACCAGATTGAACCTTGACATAACCCGCGGAACAACATTCCCGAACGGCGATCCGCGCCTCGATCGAACGATGAGTCGAACAATGACCGCGCGCAACAACAATTAATACTAAAAGTCCCGGAACAATGAACCACATCGAACACGGAAATCTATCGAGTACGGTTAAAAATGAATAATATTACACATAAGCGACGATCGAAGTACCGAGTGATGTGCATCGAGATCAACAACGAAAACAAATATATTGAAAAATCCACGGACCGAGTAGCGAGGGCCAGGCCCGAAATGATCGAGGCCCGATCGATCCGCGAACCTTTACGCGTGCTATACAATAATATAATATATCCATATATTACTCAACATTCGTCCAACGTCCCAAAACCCGTCGACCAACGACTCTCAACGTTTACATTTTTTGTTCTACTCCCACCAGCCCCGCAAACCCCGGCAAACCGCGATCCGTTCTCCGCCCCCACTTCGTTTTCTATCGATTTAAAACTCGCGCGCGCGACTTGCAATCGTTGCAATATAAAAAAACGCGTATACACACACGGACCCGAAATAGATTCTCTTAGTCTACGGATTTTTACTCCCATTTTTTATCGTTATTATTATATTATTTCTGCCTTTTTTTTGTTTGTTAATATTAATATTTATATACTCGTATTTATATATGTTCATTAGCCTGCGTCTCGAGCTCCCGACCCCCTGATTACCGCGCGCCATTTTGCAAATGGCATTCGGAGGGTGTTATAAACAGCACCCCCACGAAATTTATGGTTCTTCGTCTCGACACCTTCGCATGATCGAGCCTCGCCGGTTCGAGACGAGGCAGAATATATATAAATAGATCATCGAATATTCTTCTCTCTCTCTCGCTCTCGCTCGCTCGCTCGCTCTCTGTCTCGTCCGTCGAAAATCCTCGTCTCGCGGCAACCCCTGTATCTAATTAAATATTTCCGCGGATAGTCGATCGATCGACATTGGCGTGATCGATCGACGATCGCATCCCTTATCGATCGCCAGGGCCCTTAGTTCTCTATACTAAACAATGTACCCCCTACCCGCCCCGTGTCGCCCAACCCCCCTAACTATCCCTACCCCC